AATAATTACCGTGCAGTTGGGTAGGGAGGGCGGCAGGCAGGGGTGCCCCGAGGGCAGAGCCCAGACTTGAGTCATCTCTGGGCCCAGAGAGCCCAGGGGGAGAAGGAAGGGACCTGTTCTGAGGGTTTCAGGAGCGAGGTACGTGAAGGATTGGGGTGGTGAGACGCCCAGGAGGAGGGAGGACTCCCCCGTGAGCCCAGGGTGTGGAGATGCTGCCCGAATGCTTGAAGTCTCGTCCCTGGCGGCAGGGGTGCGGGAGGACACCGCTCTCCTGGGAGGTTTTCCCCAGCCCGCTCCCAGGTCCCTGAGCCGCTCCGCGTTCCCAGCCCACCTCTTCACCTCCGGGGCTGCTGACCTGGGCTCTGGGACGGTCGGTCCCAGGCTGCTGACTGTGGGGTGGGGAGACCCTGACGAGGCGCCCGGAGCACAGTCCTCCCCACAGGCATCTGGGGGCATGCGGAGTCCGGGTGCGGACGGAGCCCGGCAGCCTGGTGCGTGCTTTGTTGGTAGCGACACGTGCAGGCGGAGTTGCCGTCTGGCTCTGACTCTTTTCCCGTGGATGTTGCTGGATTCAGTCTGGTTCTGCTGTATTTCCGAGGAGCAGCACCTTTTCTATCGCTGCTGCTCTCCTCCTCCTCTTCCTCTTCTTCCTCCTCCTCCTCCCTTCGCCGCCTCCTCCCTTCTTCTCTTCCTCCCTTCTCCTCCTCCTCCTCCTCCTCTTCCTCCCCCTCCTACTCCTCCTCCTCTTCCTCCTCCTCCTTCTTTTCTTCCTCCTCTTCCTCCTCCTTCTTCTTTTCCTCCTCCTCCTCCTTTCTGAGATTGCCGTTGACACAGACTTCCGCTGCCAAAGCTAATTGTGAGGCCTGATCAGTGAATGAAGGTGAAGGCAGTTCCCATGACAACCACGAAGAGTTTCAAATATAGGGGATGATGCGTGTGACGGCTGCAGTTGCCGGGGTGGAAGGGGATGCGTGGACACCGGGGACTTAAACATAGGCTCCGAAGGCGGAGGTGTGAGGAAGAAGGGAGGGAGGGAGGTCACGGACTTCCCCCACAGTCTTCCACGCGCCCCGGTGTGCGGAACGTGGGATAAAACCCCTGGCGGCTCTGCAGAGGCGCGGCTCCAGCCCTTCTGGTTGGAGAGGCGGGACTCGCGGAGAGACAGGCAGCCGCGCCGAGTGTCAGACGAGAAACGCTGGAAGTGCTGTTGGCTGGCAGAGCCCCCTAGTAATCCGAGAGGGCTTCCTGGAGGAAGTGGGCTTGTGCGGAGCGTTGAAATGAAGCTTTGTGGGGCGTGACCTCCTTCAGGACACAGCCATGGCCTGGGAGGAGAAGGATGCCTACCCACTGCCCCTGGAAGAGGTAGGTTGATAGGGAAACCCTAGGGCTACAGAGAGCAGCACGGACGGTGCAGCTACGAATCCAGAGCCCTGCTTAGTCGTCTTCTAGCTGTGAGAATGGGGGCAAGGTACTTAGCCTCTCTGATTCTCGATTTCCCCATCTTTAGAATGGGCATGAGTAATGCCTGTCTCATTGGGTGGTTTTGAGGGTTACATGAGAGATGGTTCTGTTTGCTCCGAGTGTGGGGCCTGGCGCGGGTTTGGTGGGTTCGGTGCTTGGTCTGTGTCTGAATGTGTTCCCATCCACCGGTCTCTCTGTGTCTGTGTGGCTGTGACCCGTGGCGATCCGTGTTCCTGGGGTCCTCACTGTGGGGGGATTTTGTGTGTTCTGAGCAAGCGAATTTATTCACCTCTCCCCAGGGAGGTCTGTGGCCCCATTCCTCCCGCTGGGAGTGCAGTGGGGACTAGAGGCCGTGATGGAAGGTGTATGGGGACACCATACAGAAGGGTCCCAGGCGCCTCTGGGCCAGTCCCGGTGAAGCTGCAGAGGAAGGAGTGGGGCGGAGGGAGATGGGACAGGTTGGCCGTGGGCACTGGCTCTGCTGGAGTCCTGGCATTCCAGATGCCTCGGAAAAGGCCAGAGGCCAGGCTGGGGCAGAGATGGGAGCAGGTGGCCTCCTCGGGGGGCATGGGCTCCTCTTGGGGTGTCGGCAGGAGGTGGGACGGAGTTAGCAATGAGGGGTGGGCGGCTGGCTCCTGCAGGCTGGTGAGGAAGACATGGGCTGGGCTGAGCAGGCTGAGACTCGGCTCTCATTTAGTGGTGGCAGGTCCTGCCCTCCCGGGAGAGGAGGTGCCCCTCTGGTACTTGGGGATCGCAGAGAGAAAGCCAACCAGGAGAGAGGCCTCCGTGTCGCCCAGCCCCCTGCCTGCCTTCCCTCCCCCCTTGCTAGAAGCTCCACTCAGCACATTCCAGCTCCGTGCAGAGCCTAGTGAAGTGGGGAAGACGGGCCCCCGCCCACGTGGGGGAGACGGCCGTGTAAATAAATAACTGAACTTGGCTGTGATTGGTGCGCGGGGAGAGGCCCCGGGAGAAGGGGCGATGCTCACAGAGGCTGGAGGAGCTGGGAACGTGGCGGAGGGACGGAGGGACGGGACTTTCGCTCCACGTGGGGGAAGGGGGGTGGGGAACCAGGCACGCAGCAGCATCTCGAAGTCTCCGATTCTGTTCTCGGACCAGAGCTTACAGGGAGGGGGCTGAATTCAAGCGACCCCATCCCTCTTTGCGTTTTCCTGGGGTTGGCAGAGAGAGAGAGGGAAGGGGTTGGAGGACTGGGAGGAGAAAGGCCTGCATTGGGATGCTGACCTCCCGCTCACCCGCCGCGTGCTCTGTGGGCCCATCGACAACGTCTGTGTCTGAGTCCGTTCCCCGGAAGAGACCAGGTTGTGTGTGGAGTAATTCGAATGAGATGCTCCCACTGGCACGGTTGGCACGGAGCCTGGGACCTAGCAGGGGCCTGATAAACTGGCGGCCGCGGCGTTAATTGTTACTCTCCGAGCGGCACGCAGGCTGTGTGCGGGGTGGGAAGGTGGGCCAGGGGTTGGGGGCCGGGATGCAGGCCGGGCTTCTCTTGGCCTGGGCAGGGGAAGAACTGCGGGGTGCAGACGTCCGTGTTCCCATCGGGAGCCGTGACTCGGGACACTGGTCCTTGCCCTGCCTTGTCGCTTGGCCTGGAGAGAAGCCGGGCGGAGCTGCCCTCTGTCCCGGGCCTCCCGGATCCTCCTCACCAGATAGATGGGAGCTTTGCTGTCCCTCCTGAGGCAGCTTGTCCCAGCCGAGGACCCCTGTGGCCGTGGGGCACCAGGTCGGGGCAGCACCGGGTCTACCTGTGGGAGACCTGGTAGAGGAGCACATCCCGTAAAACAGCGTTCACACACCCTAAGGAGCCTGAGCCGCTTTTCCGGGACCTCCGCTGCTTCCTCTGTGAGACAGAGGCAGCGCAGGACGCGTTCTCCCAGAAACTAGCGAGAGTAGCGAGCAGCGCCCGCAGCCCACAGCGTGCGCCCGGGGCGCGCTGCGTTTCCGCTCAGGATCCTCCGGGTACGCGGGACCGGAGTCTGTGACGGCCCCTCCTGGGAGGTGGGGGCGCTGGGTGTTCAGCCACAGGGAGGGGGGAGGGGGTAGAGCAGGACGTGCCCAGGGTTGTCAGGAACTAAATCCAGGAGTGGAATGGGGGGCTGTCCTCTCCCCGCTCTGTTCTCCCGCCCTTCGCGTCCTGGGCATTGCAGCTTTCAGAGGCTCAGAGCTGGGAACTGGAGGCCATTGCTTCAGGGTCCTCGGCCTTTCCCAGGGATGGGAAGCCCTGATGGGCGGGGCAGAGAAGAAAGGGGGGGTGCTTCTAGGAGAGGAGACAGTATCCCCAGTGGTGGTGGTGATGGGGAGGCCATCTGGATGGGGGGGGTATATAATCAGGCAGAGGGATGAGCCATCCTAGGGTGAGGGTGTGGGTGTTTGCATGGGGGAGGGCCAGGCTGGCACGGGGAGGGAGGCTTTGGGCCACAGCCAGTGTGGGCTTCCCGAAGTCTGTGTTCGGAGGTGGGCGCCGGAGGAGGAGCAGGGCTGCCTATGGCTAAGAGCCTGGTATTTAAAGCCAGGCCGGCCGGCCCGGGGTCCCAGCTCCGCTGCTGCTTTCTCGCTGCGTCGCCCTTGGTAAGTTCCGTCCCTGGGCTTGCCTTGTTTTCTTATCTGCAGGCAGAGTGGGGGTGAAGGTTCGCACGGTCAGGCTTCCTTTTCTCTTTGCAGACCGGAGGGGCTCTTGCTCCTCCAGCTCTTACTGCATCGGCCCTGGGGGAGGCTGGCGTTGCGGGGGGGGGGGGGGGGGTTGTGGACCCCAGAGGTGGGAGAGGAAGCCCCTGCACACCAGCTGCGGCTGGACCCCCAAGGCGTGGCCTGTCCTTGGACCCTGGAGAGGCCGAGGATGCCGCTGGTATTACCATCGGGGTCCCCTGCCAGGAGGAGGCGAGGTGCCCGGGGATCCCGGCCTGCCCGGGAGAGGCGGCGGGGCCTGGGCCGCTGCTGGGCGGATGGACGCGGCTCCCTCCGCGGCGCCCCCGCCCCCGGCTGGGCAGGTCCCGCCCCCGCGCGGCCGGCCGCGGGGATTGGCTGGCGCGCGCGCCGCCCTGCACCCCAGCCCCGCGGGGAGGGGAGGGGAGGGGAGGGGAGCGGAGCGGGCGGCAGCTGGCCGCCGCCTCTGCAGAGCCTCCCTCCGCGCGCCCGCCCGGCTCCCTCTCCCTCCGGCGGATAATGGGAGGCCCGCCGGCCCGCGCACCGGGGAAGGCCGGCCGAGGTAGCGCAGGCCGGGCCGGGAGGCATAGGAGGGCCAGGGGCCTCCAGGGCCTGGGAGGGGGGGGGGGAGGTGGGAGAGGGAGCCGGGAAAACAAAAACACCCGGGAAGGCCCTCGCTCGCGCCCCTCCACCGCGCGCCTGGGCGGCAGCTGGAGCAGGAAGATGGTCCCCGCGGTCCTTTCTTCTCCCCGAGCGGCCGCCCCCGCCCCCCGCCCTCCGCCGCCCCTGCAGCGGCGCGGAGGGTGCAGCCCGAGGACCCGGAGCCGCTCCCGCTGTCAGCCCGGCTCACCCGCCTGTCTCTCTGGCTTCTCTTGCAGGTGGAGATAAAGGCTGGTGAAGGAGCCGGGCCCTGGGGACAAGGGGCCGCTGTCAAGGTACTTTGTGTGCGTGTGCTTGTGCGTGTGCTTGTGTGTGCGTGCGTGTGTGTGTGTGCGTGCGTGCGTGCGTGTGAGAGAGAGAGAGAGAGAGAGAGAGAGAGAGAGAGAGAGAGAGAGAGAGAGAGAAGGGGTGGGGGGAGAGGGAGAGGGAGGAGAGGCAGGATAAAAATAAAGGGTCTCCTCGGGTGATCCCTTAATCTCCCACTGTGTGTGCAGCAGCCGCCGAGGGGGAGGGGTGGCGGGGGGTGTGGGCGGCCAATGAATTCTCAGGCCTGTGTGTGGGTTTTGTTTGGATTCTTTCTGCTTTCTCAGCTGGATGGTTTGGGTGCAGTTGGGACTGGGCTTGTGGAGCTGTGTTGTGTTTTGTTGTGGTTTTTTTTTTTTGTGTGTGTGTGTGTGTGTGTGTGTGTGTGTGTGTGTTTTTAAAGACATGCAACCCCTGGCGGTGTCTCTGGGAGCCTGTCCCTGGCACACTGTTGGTTTGCATCCAATCTGCAGAAGTCCCTGGGCGGGGTGGCGCGGGGTAAGAGGGAGGGTAAATGGTGCTCCTGAGCCTGAAGCTGATAGGGTGTCATTAGTCATGCTGCTGTCACCATGGAGATGGCTGGAGAGGAGAGGAGGTGGTGGGGTGAGGATATTTTGGGTAGGGTGGGGGCTGATGCAACCTCATGCCTGGGAAGCCGGCGGGAGGCTGCCGTTCCCCGTGGCTCGGTGTCTGTGTCTGGGGAGCCGAGACGGGAATGTTACCAGGTGAGTCGGAAGCAGGGAAGGGGCGCCGAGCTGCTGCCTGCGGCTGTCTGTCTGAAGGTCAGGGCTGAGGTATTTGGGACAGGGCAGGGTCTGTGACTGGGAGACACAGGCATTCCTCCCCGGTTGACAGGGTCCAGGATCCGTCCATTTCCTCCGGCGTCCTCCCCGCTGTCGGGGCTAGGGACCCGCGGTGAGTTTGGGATTACTCAGCATGTCCTCTGGTGGCCCACGGCGGAGGAAACAAAGCGGGTGGCAACTCTGTGGGGCTGTCTCTCAAGTTCGGAGCCGAGAGGCTGGGGGACAGGTGGGCGGGGGCAGGACCAGATGGGACTTTCCTAAGGAGGGAGGGCGCCCACGCTAGGCGGTCTCCACCCCGCCTTCCCCAAGGGCCCCGGAGCCTGTGGGGAGCTGGGGGGCGGGCGGGATCTGGTTGCTTGGGCAGCAGGTGGATGATCTACTTTGTCCCCAGGTGCTCCGCCCTGGAGGCGCGCCTCCCGCTTCCTGGGAAAACTGTGGGGAGCTGTGTGGAGGTGCCGCCTCCCTGCCTGGGTGGGGACACGCGCAGGGAGGGGCCCTGCCTCCCGCGTGGGGTGGGGGCTCCTGGGCGAGGCGGCGGGTGGATCAGAAGCCGGCGTGTTCCTTGGTTTCTTCCCAAGGAACTTGAGGCAAGGAAGTCGGGGGCGGGGGGGGGGGGGGCGCGCAAGAGTTTTTGTTTCTGGAGCAGCTTCTGGGGGACAGAGACGGGCCAGGTGGCACTGGCTCTGCTGGGGAGCTGGGCCTGCCTCGGGCAGGCTGGGAGGCGTGGGTGATCCTGGGACCAGACCGTGGGAGGCCCCTGAGGCGAGCGGAGGGTGGCTGATTCTGGCGGTGATGATGCCGTGGGTGGGGAGGAGAAAGCGTGAGCTCATCCCCAGGTCCCACCTCCACTTCCTCCCCTGGCCGGGCGCTGCGGATGGGGACGGTGCTTTGAGGTCTGTGGCATGGTGTGCACCTGTTCGGCCCCCGCCCTGGGGAGAGCAGGACCAGGGGGTGAGGACAGATGGGCTCAGCGAGGCGGCCACTCCCTCCCTCTCGGTGGCACTCAGCCCTCTCAGCCGGAGCTTCCCTCTCTGCTGGGAGGAAGGTCTGCTGGCAGGTTTGTTCACTCCTGGAGGGGCCCCCTCCCTCCTCCCTCCCTCCCTCCCTCCCTCCCGCCTGGCCTCCCAGTGGCTTCTCTTTCCCAGTGTGCTCTCCATTTCTCCCTGCTGCATTCTGCGGGCCTGGCACGGCGGCCTTAATGTCTTAATGTTGTGGGCATGGAGCAGGGCTGCTTGGAAAACCAGAGAAAGCCCTGCGCATGCATCTGTCTTTCCCCCTTCCCAGGGTGGAGCCCGCGCTGACTGTGTTTTCAAAGCTCCGACGTGGGGTCTGTGCTTGTGTCTGTGGAGTCCTGTGTCATTGGAGAATCGCTGGTTTTCTCTCTCCGCCCGCCTTGGGCACTGCCGGCGAGCACGGGGATCTGAGCCCCCTTCCCTGACTTTCCTTGGGTGACCGGTTTGGTGCCCTGGAGGAGGAGGCAGTGTGGCCACATCCTCCTCGTCCATCTGCTGTGTGAGCTCACGCTGAGGTCAGACCAAGACTCCGTGAGACGCCGCCCGCCCCCCCTTGTCCTGTGCCCCAGCCTGTCCCCGCGGGATGGGTGCAGGCCGGGGGAGTCCCAGGGGTGACGGGCATTCGGGAGCCAGTGGGAATATGCTCACCTGCTGTGTGCGGTGTCCTGCCAGGGTTTCAAGAAGATCCATGTTGTAGGGTGTGCAGAGTTGAGCTTGATCAACGCAAGTTGTCACTGACTGGGCTGTCGGGGGTGTGACGTGTCTACCCATGATACGGGAAGGAACACGCCAGAGCACACGCTGCGGCTGCTGCCGCCTCCTTGGCAGCCCGGGCGGGCGGGAGCGAGTGCCCAGCGCCGAGAGCACCGTGCCGCCCGGCTCCCGGGCTCCCACGCTGCTCCCACACGCTGCCCCCTGGGAATCCTCAGTTGGCCGGAGACGTCTGGAAACTATTTTGGGACGGTGCCCGGGATCTCTGCCTTGGGTCCCTGCCTCTGACCGCTGCAGAAATGCCCCTTTGTTGAGGAGCCGCCATCCTCAACTTTTACACACACTGTACGTGACTCCTCCTTAGTCTCTGGCCCGCTTGGCCTGCTCCTCCCTTGATCTCGGAGGTGAACTTGGGGAGATACCATGGTGGCAGGTGAGCATGTCAGGCTGGAGCGGGGAAACCAGCCAACCAAGAGGATTTTCGAGTTTGAGGACAGAGAGGGAGAGGGAGGGCTTCCTAATGATAACAAGAACTGGAGTTGGAGTCCCAGGGCGCAGCTCCTCCTCCCTGGTGACTGAACTGGTAACTCCTGAATGTCCTGGCGGGGAGAGGACTGGACAGGATGGACGGGGGTGGGCCCCAGGTAGTGTGTCCACGGGGCTCCTGCAGGCTCGCCGAGGAGGGGCCTGGCCCGGGCTCCGTCCAGCTGCAGAGGGACATTTCTGCTGGAAATGGTCTTTGTGGTCTTGCCAGGTCCCCTCCCGTCCCTGCCCCCTCCCCGCACGTGGTTCCGCTGGCCGGGGTAGGGGCAGGGAGTGTGGGAGGGGCTTGGGTCTGGCTCAGCTTTGGCTCTCCCAGCCCTCTCCGGTCCTCTCCCACCCTGACCTCGTGGGCCTTGCTTCCTCTCGCACTTGAGCATCTGGCAGGCAGCCGAGGACTCCCCCTTTGTTCCCAGCACGTCTGCGGCGTCGGAGGAGGCGGTGGCTTCCTCGCGGGTTCGTGTAGGCAGCCTCTGGGGAGCTGGGGAGCAGGGGTGGCTCAGACAGCTAGCATCTAGAAGTCGTCCTGCTGTCCAGGACTGTGGCCCCATTCACTTTCTCTCCCTTTCTCTCTGCCTTTGTCTTCCCACGCTTACTGGGCATGTCCTCGGTCCCAGGGACAGTGCTGGGTCCTGGAAAAGAAGAGAAATCATTGTTATCGGGTCTTCACAGTATCCCTAGAAGCAAGAGACGCTGGCTAAATCCCCTAAGGTCGTCAGTCCGTGTGGGCTCACCAGCATGGGCAGTGTCTGTGTGTCATCCAGGGAAGGCTATGGGATCGGCGTTTGGGGCTGCGAACCTGCCCCCGGCAGCCCGCCCCCTCGCCCCCAGTCGTGCCTGGTGCTGTGCCTGGTGCTGTGCCTTTGCTTATTATCCCTGGCTCAGTGGACCCCAAGGGGCTTTGAGAGAAGAGTCCACATGCCAGCCACGTTTTCAATAAACTGGCATCTCTGGGATCTGGCAGTTACAGATGAGACTCCTGGGGTAAGAATCAGGGTAGCTGGGAAGGGAGCGTAGTTTTGAAAGGAAAGTGTTGGGTTCGAGGCCGAGATAAGGCTGGAGAGGAACACGGTGGGCACGTCCCCTGGAACCCACAGCGGCCTCTGCGCGGTGGTGGCTCTGGGCCCCGCAGCCGGGGCATGTGGGGGCGGGAACTCGGCGGCGGTGAGGAGGGCGAGAAAGGGCAGCCGTCCTGTCTCTTTTCCTCTCTGTTCCCAAACCTGCGACTCGGATCTGTTCTTGGCTGGGAGGGAGCCCCTTACTGTCCCTGGTCTTCCGTTTCCTCTGTAGAAGGAAGGGGTTGCCTTCCAGAGTTAGTTCTTCTCAGACTACACGTGGCAGGTGGTGGTGGTGGTGTTGTGTTTCTTAATTTCCAGAACGTTGCAGGGTGACACACGGCCCCGCCTTGTACACGGAGTTCACGGCTCGCACCGCGGGCAGCCGGAGCGCTCAGCACCGCCCATCCGGCCTGGGAGCGGGGAGAGGCGCCGGGCGGTGCGCTCTGAGGGCGCGAGGCAGCTCAAGGGGCCGTTCCCGCGTCTGTGTTGCGGGGGATGGGGACGCACATCTTACGGCCACACCCGCACAGCATTGCCTTAGAGGGGCTCCGGTCTGACCGCTCCACCCCTTCCCGGACACGGCTTTCCCTCCCTTCGGTCCTGTCCATGCTGGGGACAGAGCAGCGCTGGGAAGAGCAGAGGTCTTGCCGTCCCCACGGCTCTGTCCCGGGTCCTCAGAGGAGTTTCTTGCGACTCAGCTTCTTAGGGAAGAAGGCCCCATCGGCCCTTAGACCTCTGCATGTCTCCCGTCGTGATGGAGAAGCGTCAGGACCCGCGCAGCCCCCTGAGGGGCAGGACTGTGTGTGTGTGTGTGTGTGTGTGTGTGTGTGTGTGTGAACTGCATGAC